GAAATTTTATCACAGTTGTTAGCTGTCATTTATCTAAATTTCTCCCTGCGCTGCAGGATAAATGAGTCACCTCCTCATCCACCCACTCGCAGTCATGTTCCAGAAATGCCTATTTTGACATTAAGTGCCACAGGGACACTATATTTAAACAGTTTTAGTTGACAAAGCTCTGACCTTTATATCTATTGTTTAACATAAAGTAAAATACCGTTTTTTGCACACCGGTTTTATTCCTGGAAAGTCGAGCAAAGTGCAACACTGGCCTTACAAGCTGAATTGAAGTTTGCTGCCCTCTGTTGGTCCGATCAGGCCAACACAGGAGTAAATACTGTGTTCAGGAATTCCAAGATTCCTAAAATTATTCCCACTGACCAGTGAGACTGATCCCAGCATGTAAACAAAGAAATATTGTTGACACTCTTAAGGGGAAACAGGAAACAATAGAAATGAGACAACAATGGTTACATCCCCTAGTCAGAAAACCTTATATAAGCAGGAACAGTCACTCTGGAAAAAATCCATTGTGGGTAAACATATCCTGCTACTCTCACTGAAACTCTTATTCTTTTTTTTTAATCAGCAGAATGGGGGACTTTTAATTACCTTGCCGACATATAAGAGTCTTTCAAGGAGAAATCAAACTTGAAGGAAAAAGTGCAAACTATTCCAATAAAGGCAAGAAATGTCGTCTTATATTTCTCCTGTCAATGAAACAGACTAAATGTACATTTTCTAATGTCAAAAGACATGTTGTAACTTATTTCCACACAACAGATTGATTTCTATGAGAAATGATATATGAGATTCTGCTCATGTATCAGAAGCTACACATCCGAAGACTACGTGACTTTCCACAAATGTTTCTTAGTTCATTTCTCTTCTTAAATAGTACATTGACATGTAGTCTGCACTATGACCATATGTTATGCAGTGGATGTCTCTGGGCACTGCTGTGATGAATTTAGAGGTTGCCCATGAAGGTCAAAGGTCAGCTGAACAAGCAACATGTAACTCAGTTCTGCATGAAAACAAGCCCCTCTCCATTCCCCTTGAACTGGCCTGAGTCTGTAAGTCTGACAGACATATCAATTTGCCACAGTGATGGATAATTGTCCCAATAAATTTGGACTATTGATCAGGTGTGGAAATGTGCCGGAAAGACAGTCAGCAGGTTAAACGTTTGCATCCATGTTCAGCTTTTCCCCAGGAATAAATCACTGTGTTGCAGAAGATGTGACTCCTCGGTTGGGATTCAAAAAGAAAAATTTGGACAACAAAGAAATCTGTCACTGTGGCATTTAAAAAAATATCCTCAATTTACAAAGAACAAATCTGGCAATCCAAAACTACCCGGTGCAGTGATGTTGAGCATTGTTGAATGGTACTGAAGTGGATATTGACTTTCTGAAGTTTGCTGGGTACATTCACAGAAAGAACATTCACAATAAGTTGGAGAATCATCATGTCATGAAGTGTTTGTAGAGTTAACCAAAAACTCAAACAGGAGCTGGGAGTACTCATCATATTGAATGTTCTTTAATGATAAAATTGAACACTTAGAAAAGGGATCCAGAGCAGAACAAAAATGTAGATTCAGGGGAAATACCAGCAAGGAAACGCAACGAGTAACAAGCGAGGAGTGAATGAAAGTGGCTCGATTAAATACTAGGAGAGTGGAAAGACCTGGACTGATTGGCAAACTGATTGGGAGGAAATTAATCTAACAAGATAACAAAACAAAGAAACATATATAAACCAGAATAACTTCAACAACTTTAATTGCTTGTCTGAGTTGATTTATATTTTTCTTGAATCAAATTTCTCCTCATTGTAAACCTTAAGTCATGAAGACAGGTAGGGAGACTCAGGGATTTCCCAGGATGCGCTGATATGAGTGCACAGGAGGGTTTGGCTGACCTGTGAATCCACACTTGCCTGCAGAAATGGAGAATGTAGATGTTGACTGTCACCGTCTCACACACCCCTGACATTTTACACCACTGCTGGTGGACAACATGTCCTTCTTTCCAGATGGACTCACAGCACACATTTAGTGCAAAATTATTCATATAATTCAAACACTTTTGATCGCAAGACGTAGAAAGTTAGCTAAAGTACATGTGACATTTATGCTCTAAGGTGACACTTTATTTTAGTTTGTGAGAGTATTTATGAAGACAATGAACGCATTTCTTAAGCTCTCCAAATATCAACCTATTTTTAAAGCTCTGACATTCCTCATGTGAGTGAAAACCAGCATCACAATTTTTCTTACGTCATACTTCAGTCTTTATTCTTTCAGACTTGCCTCCAACCACATATTGGTTAATTCTATGTGATTAGAAAACAATATATTAGTTAAAGCTATAATATAAATTAATGGGACTAACTCAGCAGGCTGGTACTTTTCAAAAACACTAATGGCACAATTATTTAAACCCTAACATTAATACAACCCCCTTTCGTTAGCTGAGCAGCACAAAGTCTTCTATCGCAGTTCAGCATTTGACAATGACATTGCTCTTTCTAAGCTTCTTTAGGTCCCTAAGAGAAACTTTTCTTTATTTTTATCCTGACCTCACCTCTCAGGTCTTTGAAAGAATCTTGGTCTGAAAACTGACCTGACCATGGAAAAAACCTGATTCTGTGTTTGTTTTCACATTTCTGAGTGATTTGGCTAGCTGTTTTGGATCTTGCTAGTGACACTTTTTAGTTTTCTCACAGACGCTATAAGATTGTTATTTAAAATGCTCTGATAAATTGAGGAGTTTATGATGCTGTGCACTTTAACAAGATTGCAAAGACCTTTGTAAGACATGCAGGCCCATAGCATCACAGATCCAACACCTTACCTAACAATGAGCATGGTGAACTTTTCCAAATATTATTTTTTTATTTTCATCCACTCCCATCTGGAGCTTTTGCTCACAAAAGTCCAATCTTTGTCTTGTCAGACCAATCAAAGTTCCCCCACAGATTTATGTTTGTGAGGGTATAATTATTAATTTTTTTGGCATAGTTCTTATGGTTATTATAGTTTCCTCCAGTTAATTTCAGAAATTAGTGTGAGTTTCTGCTCTTCCATTGAAATATCAATTTGCTTCTCTTCTTTCAACACAACTTTACCAGGTCTGCCAACAGTATGGCCAGCACTTCAGGCATATTTTCTTGTCAACACAAAATGTTCTGAGTCCTGTCTGAACAGGAGAATCGGTACAACATCAAACAGATTTTGCTGCTCAAAACTCGATTTTCTTTTTTATGAAGTAAAAAAAACTCCCCAGAGAGAAAAAAAAGTTTAAATGTAATCTGGAAACCACATGTAATTGGTCAGCTGGAGGGTGATCATCTCTTACCTGTGCTCCACATTGGTCCCCTTTGATCCCCCGGTCCTGTATGACTTAATCAAATGTCCAATCCTTGGAAAAGCTGGTAAACGTTTATAAATCCCTGCCCACCAGCAAAACTGTGTGGACCTCTACAAACAAAAGAAGAAAACTCAAGTCCTCATTGATACAAAAGGTTTCCAGATTGGCACATGCAAACGGCAGGTATGATGGCTGTCCAAGAAGACATGTGGACATAGAGACGGCATACAGATAGCTTCTGTCACCTCCGTTCCACCTCTCTGCATCGTTCCTCCTCCCTTCATCCTCTCCCTCCCCCTCAGTGTTGACTCTGTGTGAAAACAAACCCTGTGCAGGAGATTCCAGCAGCTTATCTTAGTAGACCCTAATAGGTGAGGGCAGTTATGTCAGAAGATTGTTTAATGCAGAAGCAGGGAGGCTGCGAGGACCAGAAATCAAACGTCTTGTGAGGGAATGAGAAAGAAAATCGTGAGGAGAAAAATAGAAAACTGCGTGGCTATGATCTGTGACAGAATCTCTAACGGTTCAAATGTTGTAAATATCACCTTGTTTTAATGACATGATGGACAAAATGAAAGAAAGTCTAGAGGTTCAAAAATCTTTGATCTCATAAACATGTTTGCCTCACATAAAGTTTGAAAAACAAACACAAGAATACCACCGAGAGACCTATGGAAAAACGCCATAACACAGAGACGCAGGAATTCATAGGTGAGCGCTACCTTCCACGAGGTCCAAAAAGCACGAAGGCTGCTGACCTGACGACCAAACTCTAAACTCTGTGTAGGGCTCATTTCAGCCCTACACAGCATCACCTGTAAGAGCAAAGTAAGGCATTATACCACCAACCCTGCGCCTTATGCTGCAGCCATGCTGTCTCAGCTCCTCTGTAGTTTGGGAGGGGGGCGGTGGATGGGGCACCAGCATACAGCTGTAAGCACATTTCAGCACTCAGAAACTCGCTGCAGACCGGGTCATCTCCATTTCTCACAGCAATAAATTGCTTGTAAAAGCTTATACTGAAAACAGTCGAACCACTCGCTGTTTGGATTTTGTGTAAATATTTACCCTGCAGTTGTTTCAGCAGCATTTGGAAATCACAGCTCATGCCTGACAAGTCCATTTCAGAAAGAATAACGTCCTTTGCAAAAATATTCAAACCCCATAGACCTTTTCACGTCACGCTGGTCCCACAAACTTCAATGTGCTGTGACATATTGTGAAATGAACGAAGAAGCATACATGTCTATAATTTGTCTATGCAAAAGAAAATCTAAAAGTTAGACTTGTTGACTGAAACCAACTGCCTTCAGAAGTGGCCCAATTTATCAACAACTCAGCTCTTTGAATTACATGCAGGTGGGATGAAGTAACTAATAAATCAATTGTTCAGACACAAACACATTTTTCCCAAAACAGTCAAAACTGAACTGAAATGGCATTTTTATTTATCAAGCTCAAATGTGTATGTCACAAGAAGCAGAGTGAATTTTGTTTTCTCTGCTGAGTCACGTCTAGACTCAGCAGCATTCTATCAGGACAAAATTGAAAACATCTGTGGAGTTGTGTTGGGCAGCTTGAGCAAGATCTACACACAATACTCCTTACTTTGAGAGTCAATTCTATGTTGGATTGAGCCTTGTATTGCTGTAATAATGGATAGTGTAAATGTGCTGACCACCAGGTACATGGCGTTTGACAAAATGTACAGCCATGATCTGCGGGAGCAGAGTTTTATAGACTGGCCGTTTAGAGAGGAATGCAACTGCACACCTGAAAAGGTAGGAAGGTCTTGGTTTTTTTAGACTGCTCTGGATGGGTTGTCTTAATCCTTATGAAAAAAACAACAATGGAAATATTAGTTTGCAGCTTGTTGTATTTATTTAAGAATGGAAACAGAGTTTTTGATGATTACTACAAGAGGACAATATCTATGGATTTTACACACTTACAAAAGTAAATTTACCCTAATTTGAAAAATATTAGCAAAAGCAGTGACAGCCGGTACTTTTAGATGTTCTATAGACGTACTCAATTTTGCTTGTGCAACACAGATGATCAGTGGCTTAATCCCTAACTACTTGGGTCAATGAAAAAAGTTTGGAAAATTCTCATGTGATTAAATAACATTTTAGTAAATTCATCAAATAGAAAACAAATACAATTATCTTGTCAATAGCTTAACTCACAATTTTATAAAATGATCATTAGACCAGTTGGAAAAGTTTAGTTGACATCAACAACAACTCAACTGCAGACCAATCAGTGTTTCCTCCACCCACTGACTTTAGGTAAAGACCTCTAAAAATGATTATAGACGCCTTAAAATGTAGAAGTATGAAGTTAAGAAAACATTTAACCTGGAAGTTGTGTACATTTCCAGTATACAACTTCCAGGCTGTGTTTGGAAGTTGCATTTCAGAAAAAAACCTGCCAAATCCAATAATATGATTATGTCCTAACTTAACACATTATGAGCTATCCTTTGATCCAAGTCATTTGCAGCTTCTGATTTATAGCTCAGCAGGTGCAAGTTTCAGACTCTTCCCTTTGCCCAACCGGCTCATAGCATGATTGATGAGCTGCTGACACTTCTTGAGTTATTTTCTGTCATGCAAACTCATTCAAAGGGAAATTATTGCTTTGAATGAAAACTAATCCGGATGCAGATCTTTTTTTTTTTCTTTTCTTAATGTTAAGTTATGATTTCAGCTTTTTTTTTTCTTGTCTAGATGGCTAAAGCTGGTTTTGTCCACTGCCCCAGTGATAATGAACCAGACGTTGCCTGCTGTTTCTTCTGTCTGATCGAACTCGAGGGCTGGGAACCAGATGATGATCCATGGTGAGGAAAAAGCACATCATCCAGCAGTTTTTTAAATCTACAATCCTGGCTGCAAAAGATGAGACTAACAGAACTCTTGTCTTTTACGTAAACTTTGCCGCTGCGGTTCTGTTACCGAGTTTTGGACAAGGGATCACATGAAATTTTCCAAATGGATGAAAACTTATGAAAATTTAATCAAGCACGAAAACTGATTGCCCTTTGTTTCAACATATCTAAAAATGAACTATTTTTTATGGAAAACCAGAGAACAGAGCAATATTCTACAGGAAACGTTAGTCAGAATTAGATAGCAGAAAACAGAAATAAAGTCTTCTCAGATGAAGCCTCTTTCAGAATATTCAAAACAGCTGCGGAAAATGATTCTTCAGATACAAAATGTGATGTTTTATATTAAACCAAAGTGACCTCAAAATATTTGCGAGGTGACATCTTATCTAAGAGGATTGGTTTACTTGCATCTTGACCTAAAACCACTGGAATACTGAATGAGGAAACCTTCTCCAGGAGCAATTTTGCTCTTGGAGAAGAATGGAGAGGAAGTAAGTTGGAGATGAACAGTAGTGGGCTTTGGGTCAAAATCAACCCAAAGAATGCAGATATTTAATTGATTTGGTTCACTATACTTAATGCTGTTTAAATTATTCACAAAATCATCCGGCAACCAAGAAAAGAGAACTTGTGAAATAATACATACTTTGTCAGTCTCTTTTGAAGCTATTCCTTAATAATGGACACATTGTTCTAAAACATTGTTTTTCTTATCAGGTTTGAGCACACCAAGCGCTCACCCACTTGTGGATTTCTGTCCATGAAGAAAGCAGATTTCACTGAGCTGACCGTGTCTGAATACTGTCAACTGGAAGGTGAAAGGCTGAAGATCTACATTGTAAGAGATTGTGAATGGAATATGCTTTGACAGATACTTCTGCAGTTTTGGTTATGAATATTGTTTTTCCTCCTCTTCAGAGGAAGATTTCTCATAAGATGATGGCGTACTTGCGTGACGACATGGACAAAGTGCTTGATCGCCTAAAATCTCAGCTGGAGACAATGTAATAGCTGTTGACAATGTAATAGCTGTTTTCTCACAAATATAAAGTATAAATGCAGAAAAAAAAGTGTTCAAGTGAAAATACATTTTAACTAATAAAAATTAAGTTTGCAGTACTGTCTCTGACCACACGGTGGGGCCCTAGAGCTTTATGTCTGAAACAGAACTTCAGAGAATTCTCAAAGACAAACCTTGTACGTGTCATCTGATATAAAAGGCTACTTTGAGGAGAATTACAATGTGGGCTATATTCCCCTGTTTCCCTCAAATACTTCCCATTTTCCTGAACACACCACCATCTCTACCACATCCTTTCAAACCTTGACCCTGGACAGATGGCCTGAAGCCCCTCCTTTTCAATACCAACTGTTGCCCCAGTAACATCTGTTACATATTGGGGGACAGTGCACACTAAGAGGCCTTGCCAGGGCACTTATCTTGCCCTTTGAGGGAGACCTGGGTGGGAGAAGTATTGGAGGATGTTTCCGTTGCCAAGGGAAATTGCAGGAAAGCCGTTTATGCCGCAAAGTCTGGATTGCACTCGCACAAACTACCACTGTTCGCGCTGGAGTTTACAAATGTATGTAATGGATGGGGTTCTGGATTAAATTTGCCTTTCCATCTCCAACCTTCCACTGTTTTGGATTAATGTCTAGTGTAACACTCTGGCCACTGAGCCCAGATCAGCTGCTTAATTCTCCTTGATCCGCTCACAGCAGAGCAAATTGAAGAGAGTATTTTTAGATAAAAAAAGTAAAATGCCCCTTGGGTGATGTAACAGTTCTAATGAAACTGATGCATTGGACTTAGGAGAATCTATTCCTAATTCTGTTGTGAAACCCTTTTTTCCAGCAGTTTTTTGTCAAAGTTTGACTCGGCAGATTGAAAGCAACAGATATTCTAAAGCCTTCAAACTATTGGTGAGTGATTTCCAAAGAAGAAGAATGGTATTATTAGGGGTAAAATTTATATAAGCAAGCTTCATGAGGAACTTGTACCCTAATGAATATAGTGTCAGTCCATGTCTGTTCTCCAGTAAATGAACACAGATTACAGATCTACAGAAGCAGAAATGTGATGGATGTGCCTATCTATGGGAATGGTTCCTACCAGTTTCTTTAGGAGGAACAAGCCCTGGGGTCCTCAATATAAGCCAGTGGTTTTCAAATGTTTTCTATCAAGCACCAACTCAGTAAATGCTGTTTCCCAAGTTCCACCATATTGTGAAGACACTTTGTAAGACAAAAAGGGGTGAGGGAATAGACTGCGTTCCAATTGTGAAGAACTGAATTGGAAGGCTCCCTAGAGTCAAAATGTGTCAACAAAAAGAGAAAATAATGCTTGAAGAAACATCTTAACTTAAATACAGCATTCAATGTTATTTAGTGAGAGTTTGCCAGTATCCAATGAGTTGATAGTATTTTGCCATCTATCTTGCAGAAGTTTCCCAAAAGTTTAGCAAATAATTTTTGTGTAATGTTATTGTCTGCTGCAGTTTTGACTCTGAAGTTCTCAAACTATGTTCAATTTATAGTCATATCTTTTTGAAGCAAAGACCAAGGTGCTTGGCTGAAAGGTATTTTGTTAGCTGTAAAATGATACCTAAATCCCTTCCAAATACCATTAAAAGGAGCCGATGTATTAAAATTGACTTCAGTAACTTCAAGCTTATCAAATTAACTAGAGGACACATATTTTTGCCTTTCTCTATTCTAAAACTCACTGTGGAAAGGATTGCATTGAGAACCTCAAATGCAGCTTCCTAATTACCAAGTTTCAGCAACACAAACTGTAAGCAACAAAATGTAACAGATGGACAGACAGATGTGACCAACAGAAACTTCACATGCCGAGCTTTGCATCAGGCCCCATCTGTTGCTTCTACGACTCGGACCTCCCTCGACCCTCCTCCAGCTCTTGTCCACAATCCTCATCAGCATCCATCAGCCCCCTGCACCTCACCCCTGTATCAACTAAACAAATAACATTAACATTTTAATGTCTCAAGGATCATTGTGAAAACACATTTAAATCAAAGTTTGAGGTTAAATTATGTCAGTGGATATGTAAGCAACTTTGTATCTGATAGCAAATTCTCCTCCAAATTATTTTTGCTCCTTGAATTTGTTCAATTAAAGGCATTCATGAACAGCATGCCAACCCATTTTAAATACACAAAGGTAATGTGACACACATAAGCCATGACTATACAGGGGGGTAGACCAATAATTCAGACAACTTGAGCTGAACTGCATTCAAAAATACAACTAAAGTCCTGATTAAGTTTCCCCCTCACCCTCCTTCACCATTAATGTTCACCCACGTCTGCAGTTGGGCATTCTGACTGCCTGCTTTCTCAGACACCCTGACCCTCCTACCTTGCCTGTTTTTTTTTCTGTTCCTTCTTCCAAAGAGACCTCCATCTGTCCCTTCACTCAGCCCTTTGTGGCATCCCTAAGCCCAGAAACTTCCACAATGCAGTGGGCGTGCAAAGGGGGGCCATGGTAAACACGACAGCATCCAGATCCCATTAGAAGCTCTTTAACTCCTATATCCTCATACTCGGAGGGAACTCTGGGAGGAGAAGGTCCGTCCCTTATCCTCATGCCCACAATGTCACACTTTACACACACTTCCATAGGTAATGAACCTGGTGGTTGGACTTCTTCCTCCTCTTCTGAACATGGCTTTATAATATTAACGTCTATTCATTTTCATATGTTTAAGGTTTTCCGCCGAGTTTCAGAAAGGTCTAAGAAAGACAAACATGAAAACATGTTGAACATGACATTGTAAATGCAAACAAGTTTTATCCCACAGAGGAAGAAACGCTATTTTTTGAAAATTGAATCTCATATCTGACCAGATCAACATGGGGTGCAAAGTATAAAAACTAAACATGACATTTCAAAGGCAGCAATAAAATTGTTTTTAGTCACAGATTTTATTTTGACATTTTGGTTTAAAATTTTAGAAAAGTCATTTAAAACACAGAAAACACATTGCCATTAGCTGTATGCAAACAAATCACACTGGTTTTTAGACCAGGGACGTGATAAAAGTGTAACTAGAAAATTCCTGAAAAAATGTAAACGGCGCCTGCCAAAGTGTGCCAGTTGGTTGGAACCCAGCGTTCTGATGCTAAAAATCAGCATCGATGCTAAAGTAAGCTACAATGTACTCTATCGCAGGTGGAGAGTCACAAGCATGTTGAGCAAAATGGACTTACTCCTCAGTGTGTTAAAATTAGTGTGTAAGCTGAAATGAGCCAAAATGCTGATGTTAGTCTAAATGTTGCCAGTGGCATGTGGGCTATTAGTAGCATGTTGTCTGACATCGAGTTCCCCCATTCAGTGTGCTGATAAATACACAAAATAGCTAAAAAGCTTGCTATAGGGAAAAGGCTACTGCTAATATGAGTGGTGCACTGCAACCCACTGCTAATGTTAATGCAATGCCTTCAGGAAAAGGTTTTATGATGAACTATATGTCTCAAAATATAAAAAATTTGCACAGAAACATTCAAATACAACCCTAAATTACCTATTTAGACAGTTTATCAGAAGAAGAGAAATGATTATGGGGTGAGCTACCTTGTAAATTGGCTTTGACATTACTCCCAGACCCAAGTTTTGACTTCAGGGCTAAATGGAAAGGAAGGTAAATGACCACCAATACTTGTTCTAACCTTTATTATTGTCTACATCAGTTTTTCCACCGGATTTCTTATTTGAGAAGTTTCTGATGAAGCAATGATGTAGACTTTTTACCTCTTTTTTTTTTTTTTAAACAGGGTAGCATTAAGTATTTTCTAGACACATCATGCTTTAAGCACAGTCAATTAACTACTTTATCTTCAGTCGTTACAAAAATCCTGTATACATCAAACATGACAAAGGAGATTTGATTTTCCAATTTTAACATCTTGGAAAAGCTCCTACAGGTTTCAACACTCTGTCATCACAACAATGCTCATCCATTAAGTTATTTAAAGCTGTCCTTGGAAAAGTAGTTCAATTTGTGGAAATAGACTGAGCTTAGTGAGAGCAAGCATGAGGCATCCCTAATGGCTGCCATGGGTATTCAAGGATTTCTCAAACATGTATGAAAGAATCAAAGCAGCTCTCCAGGTCTGTTATTAATGGGGGAATAACTTTACAACATTGATTTTACGTCATTTCCCTCACTTCATTTTAATGGTGGAGTATTGCTATGTTGATGTGCTTCAGGCATTGTTGGAAAAGATCAGCAGCTTCTTCAGGAGACAATTTCAGCTGTGAAGAAAAAAGTAACTTATTGACACAAACAAGTCCCTGTTCTTTAGGCTATAATTGAACCGGTCATGTTTATTCATATTTTGGAGAAAAAGACTGTAGAAAGTTCTGTAAATTGTAAATGGGCTTTGCTTTTAGAGAGATTTATCAAGGCTAGAGGACTCTAAAGCGCTCTGCAGTGCATTCAGTCACTCACCTATTCACACACACATGCTGATGGTGGCAAGCTACTAGATTGTAGTCATGGCGGCCCTGAGGCAGTCTGACAGAAGCGGGTTCGCCGTGCACCTGCACCACTAGGCCCTCTGACCACGAGCAGAAGGCAAGGCGGAAGAAGAGTCTTGCCTAAGGACACAACAACAGAGACAGGGAGAGCAGGGGAATGAACCGGCAACCCACCGGTTACAGGACAATCACCGTTGATGATTGTCAATACGAACGGTTTATTTAGAGTACTTTTTATTTGAAAGAGAACTGCGCTCAGGTTGATTTCAGGACATATTTTCAAGGTAATGTTAGAAAAAAGTAATATTTTGGATGTATTGTATATTGTAAATACCAGGTTTTCCTTTCATTATGTTTACCAAAGTTTGATTCTGTACTCTATGTTCTTCTATTTGTCTACTTCTCTCACTTCCCTTCATTTTGTGTTGATTCATCTCTCAACCTCTGGGTCCCCCTCACCCCATGGACCCCACAAACACTGGTGTGTTGTGAGTGTGCATGCAGGC